TTTTTTTTTTTTTTTTTTTGGTACCAGGAATCGAACTCGGGTTCTAGTGCTTACAAGGCAGGCAGCAGAACCACTGAGCTAATCCCCAGCCCCAAAAAACTTTAATTTTAAAATTTTTCAAGTAAATTTTATTTTATCCCATCCCCCTAATTTTAATTAACTGAACAAAATGGAATCAGTTACGTAAGCTAATAACAATTTTGTAGGTATAAAAAAACTAATGAAGTCATATTCATAAGCTTCCCAAGGTAAAAATGAAAAAAGAAGTACTCTGTACAACTAGTTTCAGGAGTCAATTTTACATGATTTTTTTTTTTTTTTTTTGGTACCAGGGACCGAACTCAGGACTTTACACTTACAAGGCAGGCACTGGAACCACTGGGCTAAATCCCTGGCTATTTTGCATTAATTTTAACTGCTTGATCCTATGCCCTACATACTGCATCTGGAGCCTAAGAGGAGATAAATACAGTCTTTTAAATGGAAACCTCAAAGCAGTCCTAAGTCCAGTCTGCCCTTAGTGACCCAGAGCAGACTTAAGGGCCTGGAGGTCATGGGAGGGTTAGTCAGAAATGGAGCATGGTTTCCTTGAGGGCTTCTGTTTTTAGGCCCCAATCTATTCTAACTTGCTGTTCTACCTCCTTGCTTTTCTTCTGCAAAGCTCCTGATTTGATATAGTCTATTTTACCTGAGTGGGTTAGCTAGAACATACAGCACATGTATAAGTTTTTACACTTAAACACTACTGCAGGGGCCAGGGATTTAGCTCAGTGGTTCTGCTGCCTGCCTCACAAGCACAAGGTCCCAACTTCAATCCCCAAAACACTACTGTCACAAATAAGTCCGTCACTAATTCTCTCAAGCCCTCAATTTCTCAGTCTAAACCAGATGGCCTCACAGTTTCTTATTTCTAACTCATGCGACTTTTAGGACCTGAGGACAAACTGTTTGCACTATAGCTTAGTGTTCATGAACACACTTTATTACGCACATGTACACAGCAAGTTACCCAATGTGGTCAACAAGATCTTAAAGCCCCTCCACGGAACCCTGTCAACTCACTTCACTACAGAAATAAGGGCATTGTTATCCAGTCATTCATTTTCCCCCATCCCTAGCCAGAGTGTTGCCTAAAGATCAGGCTCAACTAGTACTCACATTTTTTCTAATTATACTGACCTAAGAAGTTTTTCTTAATATTCTACAAGTGTCCTATTATGATGATAATGGCAACGCAACCAAAGGTCTTACTATTTGTAAGAAACTCTAAAGATCTTAAGAAAATAATTTAAAATGGTAAACAATAAAGTATTATCCAATCAATCAATTTAGTAGGGTTTCTTGACTTTTTTTTTTTTTGGTTGAGACAGGGTCTCACTATGCAGTTGAGACTGACCTAGAACTCACTATGTAGCCCAGGCTGGTCTAGAACTCATAGTGATCCTCCTGCCTCAGCCTCCCAGAGTGCTGGATTACAGGCATGCACCACCACGCCTGGCCTTGACAACATTTTTTAAACACCTTATCTTCTTTGTTTTTTGTCTTGATCCCACCGGATTGCAAAGTGACAGATCATGGCCAATCATGAAGAGCATAAAGAGTTGCTTGCTCATGAAACCACAAAGATGAGAACTGAATGTCAATACTTAAATTGGATGAAAACCCGTGGGGTGATCACAGCCTACCTTCATGACCTTTGAGGGTTGTGATAACTGAACACGTGTTCTGTTCAAGTTTCAGCAGGGTGATCTGTCCAGAATAATCACCAACAAAAGCGTATTGAGTATCAAAGTCATATCTGAGGAGAAGCAGTCAAGGACACAGAACACGACTCTCTGTCAGTCTTCCCATAAAAAAGACATCAGCTTCAGTCATGGTTAGAATATAGAAATCACACATTTTAAACAGAATAAGCACAAACCTAAGACTGTACCAAGAGAAGAAGTGCTCAAATGAAAATCACACAATGGGTAAATACTGAAGGTAAAAAGTCAAAACACCTGCTGAGGCAGGAAGATCACTGTGAGTTCGAGACCAGCCTGGGCTACATGGTGAGCTCCAGGTCAGTCTCAATTACATATAGAGACCCTGTCTCAAAAAGACAAACAAAAAAGTAAAAACACCTGGAATTATGGGGCAAGTTCATATTCATTCATTCATTCATTCATTCATTTAACAAAAACTCACTCAGTTCCTCTTAGTGTACTCATATCCTAAAACAGGCTTTAAAAGAGGCAAGAGCTGGGCTGGGGATTTAGCTCAGTGGTTCCACTGCCCGCCTCACAAGTGCAAGGTCCTGAGTTCCATCCCCTGTACGGGGAAGAGAGGGAGGGAGAGAAGGGAGAGGGGAGGGGAGAGAGGGAGAGGGGAGATAAGAGGTGGTAGTGAAGACAAACAGGTAGTTACAATCAAGGAATTAAAAAAGTCAAATTGTTAAATACAGAAAACAGTAACAAAAAGTCCTTTTAGGAAATACTTCTAAAAATGACAAACTGACAATAAATACAAGGCATGAACCCATCTTTCTTTTGGCCTAGATGATTTAGCTTTAAATGAAGAAGATGGGTTGCTTTAAATTACTATGTGTAGTCATTCAAAAGCCAGTTACCTATGGTAGAAATAAACTTCCATTAAAAATATATTAACTATTGGTAAAAATTCATTACTTTCTCAGTTTGTGCCCATCAACATTTAAGGAAAACCAGTAGTCTATACACAATAGGTTAACTCTATTTAAACAGGATAACTGAAACTATTCCAAATGACAAAATCGAAGGAACACCACAAGTCGGACTGCTACTACAGTTTTGTGGCATGTTCTATAAATCCATTATAAGAGCCCTCGCATGTGACAGCAACACTAATAAAATGCAATGTGCCTGAGTATTTTTCCTTTATTTGACCTTAAAGTGTAGGGTACCATTTTAAATGCTTGTTTTCAATACCTCTAGCTGTTTATTCATCTGAAGTAAACATTTATAATAAAAGCTCTGATAGAAGAAAAATTTGTAATGTGTCAGGCACTTAATTCTGAAACTACCCCAGGGTATTTGCCTGTTGTTAAGTCTTGATTCTGCCATCCCTGGAACACAGTGACCAGAAGCAGCCATAATCAACAGAGAGCTCTGTGAGAAAAAAATCCCACACGGTAGGAATTTTTAACATTTTGGGACCCCAGAGCACCTTTGAGCTTATTGTAAGGATGATACACAATACAATGATGCATGGAGGCACACACACACACAATACACACGTGTGCAGTGGGAAACAAGCTTTACATAAAATGTCTTAATAGCTCATTCATGAACCCCAGGGTCCATAATTATTATATATTTTCTTGTAGGATCTGTAAATAATCAATTACCAGAAGAAGATTCAGTTCCTTTTGCCCTTCTTCATACAAATGATTTTCAATTTGCAATGCAAAGGAATCAAGGGAGAGGGTGCATTAATGAGGGCTTTGGGTTTTCCCTAATTTTCTATTTTCAAATGACCATTTCCCAGCAGAGAACAGCAAATTCATCTAAATTTAGCAAACCTATTTTATATCAAAGAAAAGGAGATTCAGAGATTCTTGGCTTTTAGATGAAACATGTAAGAATCGTTCGCTCAGTCTTTGGATCTCAGCTAATGACTGAGGATCAGATCCAAAACCAACTACTCAGGGAGGTCGGGGCTGGCGGGAGCAGCAGCGGGAGGGATACTGTAAACACGAGGCCCAGGAGGAGGACAGGTGCCGCCCCAGCATGTTCCCGCTCCGCGTGCACATCCAGCTCACACACTTGTCGTGGCCAGTGCTGATCACCCACTCGGTGGCCGCGCTGAAGATGATGGCAGACACCCTGTTCTGGTGAGCTGCAGGGAGAGAAAGGGAGTCTGTGTCTTTGGGAAGAAACGTGATCTTCAGAAGTAATTCCCTGCGGGGTGGTCATTAGTCTCCACCTGGTGTCCCCACAGTCACGCAGTGGAAATGCTGCCCTCTGTGGACCCACACAGAGGCTACCAGAAGCCTTGGATCACTGAAGAGCAATGTTCAAGAGGGATTCAAATAAACAGATCACAGAATGGGCTTTTGTTTGTTGTTTGGGTTTTGTCTTGGTTTATTGGTTTGTTTCTTAT